TGCATGAGCATATACAATTCCTATACGTATACACATATATATATATATATATACATACATAGATATATACATATACGTATATGTACACATATACACATATATACAAATATATATATATATATGTATATATGTATATATATATATACATATACATATACATATACATATACATATACATACATATATAACTATACATAAATATATATACATATACATATATATATATATATGCATGGATGGATGCGTGCATGGATGCATGGATGGACGGACGGACGGACGGATGGATGAATGGATACACCTATATTTATGCCTTCGATACTTCCGTATATATATATATATGGTACCCCCCCCCCCAGGACCTACCTCCAAACCCGTCGGCCTACACACAGGATATCATACCCCATCACCTACGCACACACACACACACACGCACACACACACACACACACGCAACATGGACCTGGGTATACGAAGATTAGTGTATACGAACATGACTATACCAGAGGCCCGGCTGCATTAAAACCAGCACTAAAACATTGAAATTTAATGCAGCCCGGCCCGTGGAACCAAGATGCCCAGGAGTCTTGAATCCTGAATCTTGGTTCCACGGATACCGGCCGGGCTGCATTAAAACCCGCATTAAAAAATCAAATTTTAATGCAACCCGGCCCGTGGAACCAAGAACCAAGAACCAAGATTCCCAGGAGTCTTGAATCCTGAATCTTGGTTCCACGGGCACCGGCCGGGTTACATTAAAATTTGCATTAAAAAAATAAAATTTAATGCAGCCAGGCCCGTGGAACCAAGAACCAAGAACCAAGATGGCCAGGAGTCTTGAATCTTGGATCTTGGTTCCGCGGGCACCGGCCGGGCTGCATTAAATCTGCATTATGAAAATTTAATTTTAATGCACCCAGGCCGTGGAACCAAGATTCAGGATTCAAGACTCCTGGGCATCTTGGTTCTTGGTTCCACGGGCCGGGCTGCATTAAAATTTAATTTTTTAATGCAAATTTCAATGCAACCCGGCGGTGCCCGTGAGGTTCTTGGTTCCACGGGCAGGGCTGCATTAAAATTTAATTTTTTAATGCAAATTTTAATGCAACCCGGCCGGTGCCCATGGAACCAAGATTCAGGATTCAAGACTCCTGGGAATCTTGGTTTTTGGTTCTTGGTTCCACGGGCCGGGCTGCATTAATTTTTTAATGCTGGTTTTAATGCAGCCAGGTGGCTGGAAACCATGTAAATATTCCCGAAACATATCGGTTTGCCATTTTATGTGCCACATGGCCACTCCTGCAGTGAAGATTAGCGAACGGATTGCTGTGCTTGACAGTTTGATCGCATCTGTACTCCTAACTCCCCCCTATGCTTGTGATCATGTCGGCGCGCCCCTTGCTTGTAAACATTTAAGGCACCAGGTATTATACAGCCTGTCTATATGCACCTCATAGAATATATCTTATATAGGATACTTCGTAGACTCCCGTATTAGAATACCCTATAGAATACTTTACAGATAGATGTCAAATATGGAACATCAGTCGGAGCCGAAGATTTGCGAATGTTCAGCTGAGTTGTAGCTTATTGAGTAACGGGTTCCCATGATGGAAACCAGGAACCTCCTTGTAAAAGAATATTTTTTAAGTTTCAGTATGGATTAGTGTCTTATCCCGTCCAGAGTTTCATAGAAAATACTCAGGTCGTACCATATACAGTTTATGAAGTATATGCTTTGTATATACCTTATGGACTACCCTGTAGCTCATAAAACACCGCATAGAAATCTGTCCTATATATACACCCTATATAGTTACAGCTTGGGATACCCCAAAACCCTATACAAGCATTTTAGAACACCATCTGGAAAACTTTACAGAATATCTTATAAAAACCCTATGAATGATACTCCCCTTATACCTTGTATATGCTCTTGAGAATCCCCTTTGGGATATCCGACAGAAACCGTATAGATCAGGATTTACTTAAGGTAAATCAGAAGGAGCCCAAGCTTTATGCAGCTTATTGAGCAAGGGACATTTATGAAAGAAATGAGGAATAAGAACAGCCTGTAGAATACCTTAGAGAATACCCTTCCTACAAAAAGTAAATAAACTCATGTAGAATACGATAATACCTTTTCAAATATTTTATATTCCCTATACACCTTGTTCACCCAAGATCTGAGAGTTCCCCAGTTGAATGTGGTTTATTTGGCAACGGATTCATATCAAGGAATTGCGGAATGAGGATCTAGAAATTCCTTGAAAAATCGATGCTTATTTGGCAAAGGATACATACAGAGAACAAAGCTCTTCTGAAGCACATGCTGCGCATATCCTATAGAATGCAACTTTTAAACTACTTTATAGCATGTTTTCGTACAATTCCACCGATTTGCCCTACATACACATTATAGAATACCATCTGTAATACACTGTAGGATACTTTGAAGAAGAACACCTCTATTTGATACATCCTGCGCACCTTATGTTTGCCATATAGAATACATATACGGTACCATTTAGGATACCCTTTAGAATCCTTTATAGAAAAACCTTAAAAAGTACCTTATAGATACGGACTTTAAATATGGAAAGCCAGCCGGAGCCCAAGATCTGAGAATTTCCAGTTGAATTGCAGCTTTTGGGCAAGGGATTCCTATGAAGAAATCAGGAACCAAGAAGACCATCCTTACAACTACCTTATAAAATACCCTCTCTATGCACCTGAATGAATTTCAAATAAAATACACTATAGAATACCTTCCTACGTATAGGCCGCAGAATGCCTTTTGCACAATACCTTATGGAGCACCCTCTAGAACGCCGTATAGAATGACCTGTAGAATACCATCCTTACGGAAGACCGCCTATGGAGTATATCCTCAGAATACTTCAAATATCCTCAAACGAGGTAGAACATCCTTTAGAATACCTTTTAAGATACTATGTAGAATAACTTTTAGTATACCTTATAGATCACGGTTCAAAAAAGGAACATCAGAAATAGCGTAACATACAGAGGACAGTAGACAATACTTCGTGGTATTGTCTTGGGTCGAACGGTGTAATGTCGTCGTAGACAGGGAAGACTACGCAGAATATAACAGTTTTGTTCGGAGTGGAGTCGTGACGTCGTCTAGACAGTACAAGAAGAGGCTTCGAGGTAGGTCCTGGGGGGGGGGGGGGGTTAGCATATATATATATATATATATATATATACACATGTATACAATACATACATACATACATACATACATACGTATGTACTGTATGCTCTACAATGTCTGATAAACTCGGTGCCTGCGTCCCTGGCCACGGCATGGGGGCTCCTTGGACCGGCCAGGAGCCGGACCAGGCCAAGGAATGAGGCCTCAGAAACTAAAGGTTAACCTTTTTGGTTATATACGGATAATATAGGGACTATACTACCCAAAAAGCTCAGACAGGGCTCAGCGCTCAGGGGTTTTTGGGATTCAGAGTTTCGGGCTTAGGGTTTAGGATCTAAGGCGAATTTTGGAGAGCCTGTTTCTACACCGTTTCAGCTGCAGAGAGCCTCAGTTGAGGCAGGCTTGGTGTGAACTACTTGTAGAATTTACTGAACACGCTTTAGGGTTTAGGGCTTTTTGGGTTGTAGGATTTAGGGTTTAGCAGCAGCTCCAACACTGTTTAGTTGAAGACTGGAACTCAAATCATATTTGGGTTCCTCCTGCAGTTAAGGGGATCGTCTTTCACTCAATGGGGTTTTGGAGTCTCTGGGTAGCACCAACACATACCGCAAAGACAGCGCGACCCTCTGCGGCTTTGGGTGGCTGGCACAGAGCTGCCGGAGCTGGATGCATCCAACCTCAGACCAAGTCCGTCCCACACACATAGAGTACCAAGTATTCTAAGCTTTACCAAATAGCGCAGCAACAACAGACACAAAACTAACACTAGCAATAACATTGATATTCTGCATTAACTATGATTGTTGCTATCATTATCGCAATCATAGACAGAATAACAACAACAGTAATCACGAGAATCATGGGAAGAATAGAATTTACAAAAACACGAGGAAATACAAGCAGTCACAGTCATGGCAATGATGATGAAAACAAGCGTAGTAATAATCATGATAATGACGACAACAAGAACACTCGCAAATTAACACGAGGTGGATGATGATCGTAATCATCGAAATCATGAGAATAGCAACGGCCCACGATGGCCCACGGAATCGCAGAAGCTCGGGGCCCGACGAACCAGGCACCTGCAAGCTGCACGACAATCTCAGGTCCAAGTACAGCGTGCTGTACACATACCCCTGCCTCGCCCCGGACGACGACATTCAAAGGCTCGCCTCGGGATGTTCGCTGTCATGCTATCTTTCCAAGCAAACTTGTGCTTCAGCCTGGTGATTTTGGGGGTCCTTCGATGGATTCCTCGACCTGGCACTTGCAGACATTGCCCACGCGTTGCCCAGGCGGTGCCCACGCGGTGCCCTGCCCTGTCCGGATACGTCAGCCCGTGCGGCGGTACCTGGCATCTGTGAGAACTTTCCGGGGCAGGCAGCAGGTCCTTCGCATGCCTCCTGTCCATCCTCAGCTGCAGGCCTGGAAGAAGGATCCTCTAACGCTGCTCCTAGGAGCTACACCTGTGCTTGAGGCCAGTGGCCTGAAACCCGTCTGCTCCGCGATGTCCTTGCCGACGCTTTGGCCCATGGCTGGAGCGGGCGAGCGGGCGTTCCCCTCACGTGGCTGAAAAGAAGAGGGGCCCTCATACTGCTCGTGTGTATACTCAGGGAGCTAGCTCGGTCGAGAAACCAAACTTGTTGGCTACAAGGCCGAATGAAGCTCAAGGAAAGCTCAGCACCTGGGCCGAAGAAGTCGGACAGAGCTTCGAGTCTGGCATCTGCCCACAATTTCCCACATGTCACATCCCAAGTACTCAAAATGCTCTTTCCCCATCCCTTTGCCCTTTCCTTTTCGCGTCTTTCCTGAACGACTTTCCGCATCATCGGGGCAGCGGAGGCAGCTCGGGCGCCGGGGCAGAGCCCGAGCTCACGGCGCTCACGGCCATCTGCTGCTGCTGCTGAAAGGGGCCTAAGAAGCACAGAAGAAGCCAAGAGCAAGGCCTTCTCACATTCCTCGGCGAACGAAGTCTGAGCGTTTCTTGAGCTCCTGGCCAATGGCATCATTCCACTGAGAGGCATCTTTGTAGAACTTCTTCACCCAGTAGCGCATGTCCATCGACTGCGACATCCGAAGAAGGGATGCAAACAGGTCAAGGACCACCTCGTCTGCATCTCGCACGCTCCTTTTTTCCTCCCTGAGAGCCTCTGGAGTCAGGACGACGAGATGCCTCTCTCTCCCTTCGGAGATGCCGGCTCTCGCTCCTCTTTCGCCGCATCGGCCAAGGGCTGAGATGGACCAGGGGCCTGAGGACCCTGGTCCGGTGGGTGGTCACCACAGGACCCGCTGGCACTGGCCCGGTGCGTCTTCCGGAGTGACCGGGCCACCACATGGCCTCCCGAACATCTCTGTCCATCTATGTTCAAGCTGCGTCGAAGAGTCCCTGCCTTTCCCAAAGAATCTCAGGAGCGAGTGGGTGAGGCCCTTCACCTCTTCCTCCGGGCCCCGTGTTCTATGCGTCCGATCCCCCATGCTCAAGCCAGTTCCTGGTACATCCGGCTGAACTTCTCCGGATCTCCCTCAGCTGCGAAAGCATCGATCACGATGGTGGTGAACATGTTCCTCAGCTGGCCGGTGCTGAGACGAAAGGAATATAGAATATAGGAACATGCAAGTTGCTCAAGGCCGGGGTGGAACTGACACCACAGAGCCTTCTGCTCCACCAAGTCTCAGGATGATCGTGACCATAAAGACACTGAAGACGAAGAGCGCAGCGTACAAGTGGCTGCCTGCAACCGAGACTTCGAATGAGACCCGAACACAAGCGACACGGAAGGTAGCTTCGGGAAACAGGGAACCCGAAACAGTTTGGGACCCGGATCTTCAATACAAGGAAAGGGAGAGCCGAGATTCTGAATTTCCCATAACATGCTGCCAAGGAACCACTTCTTTCGATGAACGGCTGCATTCCTCGTACCATATCTCTCTCTCTCTCTCTCGCTCTCTCTCGCTCATGCTCTTGCCATTTTAATTAAGACGAGGAGCCATAGGTGGCACGCTCGGTCATTCCGAAGCTGTACACGAGAAGTGTGTGGAAGGACCTCTCGACTAGAATATCGAGCGCTTCAACTGACGACCCTTCCTGTGCAAGGCTGCCTGTCGAGTGTCGAATACCTGACAGGGCGGCAGTGGGACGCAGCGAGGGAGTGCTAAAGAGGACGAGGAACTGCTGATACAGCTCCCCGAAGTAAAGTGTCCTGAGGCGCAAGACAAGGGTCAAAAAGCAGGTGGTCTCATCTCTTTCAAAGTACCCTCACATGCTACAATAGCAAAGCGTCATCAGCAGCGCGAAGCCTGTGAATGTGTCTGCATGAGCGGCTACGACTTCAAGCGGGTCAAGACAAAACGTCACCGAAGCCTGCGACCAGCACGACATACGCAATAACGAAGTTTATCAGCTTAAACTTGGCCAGGAAGATCCTTGGTGATTGGAGCGAGCCGCGCGACTGGAGAAGCATCCGAGGCATACGTTCAGCCTGGCTTCGTGCGCGGGAGCCACCGGAGCCGATAGGTCAGGTTGAAGCTCTCCAACACACGCACGAACACCAAACCTCTCAAAGACTCATCGATTTGGCCAGGTGGAACTGCGAGTCATCCCAACTTCCCGCCTACTACCAAGGCATGATAGCTGCCCTCTTCCTCGAACAACAGCTGAAAGACGAGCTCCCCGGCATAGTCGATCCCATTAAGGTTTGTGCACCTCAGGTAATGGAAAACTGTCAGCCACGTGATATAGCGCTTGCCAACCGTGAGTTCGCGACTCGTGCAGGTAGGTCAGTATGCTCATGCCGTGCTCGACGTAAACCCCACGGAGCGAGTTGATGATCCACTCCTGCAAAGCAGCAAAACAGCAAACACCTAATTCTCCCTTAAAGCCCCCGCTTTCACTGATCTGTGCAGATCGACACATTCTATGGCTGTGTCCTTGTTCGCTTGTAGCCAGGCTACCACACATCGATCGCCTAAGATCCCCACCGAAGGCAGAAGAGCTCAGCAAACATCGAAAATCAAGGCTGGCTTGAGTAGGCTTTTGAGCAAGCAGCTCATCCCGCCCATCGGCATTGAGTTTGGCATGAGAGCTTCTCTCGCCTTGCAAGACATCGGTCTTTTTCAGAACTTACCTCAACCCTAAACCCTAAACCCCAAACCCCAAACCCTCCAAACACAGCACTTTAAGCAATAAGGTCAGCACGGCTTGCACACACGCAGCCACAAAACAAATCCCGATCAGCCGTTCGATCCTCAGCTCGTGGACACAAGACTTGCGAACATGATTCGGGTTCAGGGTTTAGGGCTCATTTGCGACCGTGAACATGATGTGTCAATGGGTCCAACAAGCACTGGTGCAACCGAGCAACACAATCACGACCGACTGCGAGGTGCGACTCAATACACCTTGGCCAACCCGACACTTGACAAATTTGCCGATGTCTGCTCTACGAATTCTCTACGAATTCAACAGCTGCTAAACTCTAAACCGCAGACCTCGAGCACTTGAACCAAGGGGCCCCTTGCGTCGATGATGTACAAGACTTTCAACCACAGCAAGTGCTCGATTTCCTTCCACATGGCACCACCATTCTACATAGATTTTTGTGTATACATAAATATATATATATATATATACATACATAGATGTAGAAATATAGAGATACCTGCACATGCACATGCACACATACACATATGTACATACATATATATATATATACACATATATAAATATATGTACATATTATGCCTATACACAGGTATTGATACATATATATATATATATATATATATATATATATGTATGTATACGTATACACATGAAAAAAATTATACATGTATGCATGTGTATGGGTGTCATCTACATACATCATGTACACAGAGGTATCCACTATGTGACTACATATACATATATATATATATATATGTACCTACCTGTATAGAATGCTGAGAAACGACGGAGTCCTCGTAGGAAGTGCCTTGGATGCTCCGAGTCTCTTCTGGGCTCGGCTTAGGGCTTACGGGCTTAGGGTACAGAGGGTTCATGCTAAAGATCAACAGCTGTAATGAGTTCAAAGAACTGCACGAACGTGCCACCGAGCTGCTCGGTAGATCAAGCCTGAATGCTGTGCAGTGAGGCTTTGTGCCGTAAACTTCGTTGCAGCGCATCAGAGTTGCAGGGGGCGTTCCATTGCACAAGTTGGTTAGCCGCACTGCTTGGTTTGAGGGATGGCTGAAACCCCAGCAATTCCAAAATTCATCTCGGATGGCATTCCGGAGCTTGGCTTCGAACTCTTTTGGGGTTTCGCACTGTTCTGAGTCTGTCTGAGCCGAACCCTCAGAGGTCGCAGAAGTGTCTATGGTCGCCATGGGCTTCACTGGGCTTTGCAAAAGCTTTCAGAGTGGGGTGTGGTTGTTTTCAAAGCCGTGGGTTTTTGCTGAGGCCGGCGACTGGCATGAAATTCAGACAAAGCGCTGCAGGACGCGCAATAGGTTCAACGGCAACAGGATGAGCGTCAACGTAGTGTCGAAGAGTGTCAGGAGAAGGCACCTCGGTTTCATGATTCAAGGTTCCCCATTGACATCCTTGTGGCTCGTTCTCTCTGATGTGCCGAGAGACAATGTGAGGGTTATGAACATCATGACGATCATCGTGGTGGAGGCGGCTCCCACTTGACTTTTCACCGTAATGCGCAGATCGGCCTTGTACCAGCCTGATGCTCACCAGGCTACTGGTAGCAACGAAATGCAGCGACTGCCAGGCACCGGATTCGAACCTGCGCCCGTCTCGAGCTGATTGAAAATCATGCGGATGTGCATCCGGGTGCCGCAGCGGCCACGCTCCTGAGTCAGGAGGGAAGTGGTGGTTCCAAACTTCCGCGGGTTTCAGAAACACATGTAGGAGCGAGAGAGCGGGAGTTGGTACAGTTGTCAATGCCAATGAGGTGCACTCTTGTGCCCAGGTGACGATGGAACCTTGCCAGGATAGACAACTCAAGTTGATCGGAGGTCTCCACATGAATGTAATGCTTGCGGAAGCTATTCCGGTGAAGCCCGTGACTAGTGCAAGCAGGAGACGAACCCAATCTGGTACAACACTGAGATGTATTCGGGTTTGCAGAGCCCAATCAGACTGAAGTGGTGGTTCCGGCACTCCAGGTTCAAGTAGCCTGCACGCAGCAAAAAGTAGGGATTTCCGAGTGGAGAGGCTCCGGCAACGGAGACCAAGGATCGATGCTACTTGCTACTTGCATCTGCCTCTCACCGGGAATTGGAGCTCTGAGAGATGACTTTCGGCAAAGTCCAGGAACTCCTTCCATCATGATTCAATGGAACATGGGAAACCTTCCGTCGGTTCTGGGCGTCCTTTGCACTGAGCGACTGATTGCCATCGGCGTGATCGTCATGATTGATCTCGGCAAACAGCTCACTGCGTGTGATTGTTGAGCAGTTTTCGGCCCACTGAAGACCGAAATCACGACTCGAGCGAAGATGATCGAATAAAGGTCGTGTTTCAACAGTTGGCCTCTCATACGTGGGCACCAGCCCAAGCTCTGATACTCCTCTCCCTCGTTCAGGATCCCGATGGAACAAAAATGCCGTAACTTAGGGTCTAACGGTCCGATGGGTTCAGACAAGTAGCTGACTGCCAGAGCCTCTCCAAGCTATCACCTCAGCAGGATTTCACAGACTGCGTCCCGCTGAAGGCAATTGGCACCTCTTAGGATCTGTGCTATGGTGTTCAGGTTTGGCTAGATTTGGTGTGATGCAAGGTTTTGGGCTTTGGGGGCTTAGAGCCTGGCGCCCAGGGTTTGGGGTTGATGGTTCAAGGAAGAACTGCCATGGAAGATCTCTGCGAAACCAACTCAAGCAAATGGGTAAGCTCCAGAGAAGGACAGAGACACGACAAGCCGAATCTCTCGGAGCTTCGGATTCAATGAATCTTGTTTTAGAAAGACCCGATTTTTCACAGACTCATTGACGTTCCGTCTTTGTACAGCGCTTCGCAGCCAGGCAGCCTGTGACGTTTGGCATCACTTCCTTGGCACAAGCCGTCTCAGGAGAGGAGCCGA